AGGGAGTTAGGAGAATACAATAACTCATTAACCTTTTAGAAAAGAATTTACTACCTTTTAGAAAAGGGGAAACAGAGAGGGAGTTAGGGGAATCTTATCAAGTAGAGATAGAGTGCTGACAGAATAAAACGAGGATGGTGCAAACTAATTAAAGCAAGAAGCCTTGGGCCCCTTTACCAAGGTCAGTCTCTTGATAAGAGTGTGAACCTATCTTAAGAAACTGGTAGAAACTGGTCCTGCGGATGGACAAGAGCCAAGGAGAAACTGAGTCTGCACAAAGACAAGAGGTCAACTAGTGGTGATGAGGAAGAGTCATCAATCTTCATCCCCATGACCCCCGATGACCACCACCAGAATACACTGTGCAAGCGCAGATGGGAGGAGTTTATGGAAATGACTCCTTGGAACTAACTTTAATACAAAGCGGGGACAGGTTATGAATATGTATAGGCATATTGTGAAACTTCATGCATATGTAACTCTTTACTGTATAAAACCAAGGCAAGTTGCAGTGTCAGGTGCGCACAACTTTGGCGGGACTACCCCCCATGCTGCCCAGCGCTGAATAAACGTACCTACTTTACAATCTTACTGATTGTGGAGTCCGTTTTCTGCAAGTCATATATATGCTGAAATCTTGATTTTTTTTGAAGGGGTTATACCATTATCGAGCAGTTGAAAACAAGAAAAATAGTATGTGAACAAAGACTACACTGCAAAATGAAGAATGTGTCTCTAGGCTTGCTGAAAATGTGGGAAAAGAGTTATAAAATAAAATAACAGCCTGCTCTTAGCAAAGAGAATTAATATTCTCTCTGCTCTGTTAATGGATTTTTAACATTACTTGTTGGTTACAGATATCCATCATCAATGGGCTTGAAATGAGAGGCTGCTATGTGCTAGAAGATTAGGGCAATCTGACTATAAAAGGTTTAGTTAAAAAAAAACAACAAACTGATATGTAAACAGCCAGCTGCTCTCTGGCCTTCTGCTCTTTCAGACTTACTGAGGGTTTTGGCTCTTCAGTGGTGCAGCATGAATACTCCCTCATCAGCGCAACCTCATTGTTACTTTTCTTTGTTAGTGCAGACAGACTAGCAGGCCTGCAACAAAGGGCCTCACATGACATGTGGCTTACCATGGCCATTATTCTCCTCCCTCCCCCTCTTTTACCCATTTCACAGTAACTGGCAGCAAAGCTGGAAGGTCGAGTGACAGAGGATAACTACACTCATCTCTGCCTAACACCTATTGCATGGTCAGGATGTGGCCACAAACAGGCTTCTTCTCCAAAGCCATTTCTGCCCTTGGATGCACACATAGCTGGGTAAGACTTCATCAGAAGCTGCAGGTGTAGGTGACAGCAGGATGTGGTGAGATCAGAGATGACTCAGGGCACTGCTGTAGGTAACTGGGCAGGTATAACCGATCTCAGCAAAATGGTTATACCAGTTTTCAGGGAATTATTTTTACTATTAATCACGGCATGCTGCTTCTTTACAGAGTTTAACAACCATATTGTATAATGAGGTGTTTCAGTTCCTTTTCCACAGCAATTATGAAAGCAAAAAAATGAAATGCTAGATGTGGAAAAACATTCAAATGAAACTTTTCAACCCACATGCAAGTTTTCAGAAAAAATCTTTTTCAAAACAAACACAAATTTCAAGAAAAGATTACTGATTTCAGCAAAATGACAGAAGTCAGGCATAAAACCACTTTAGACTATTTCTGTCATCTACTCAGAGTGGCAATCTCAGCCTTCACTGTTACAACCTGAGACCAGATTTAGACCCTGACTCATTACAATGCTGGTTTAAAGCACGCTTACAAGTGCACCTCTATGTGGCATCAATTATTGTTTAAAAGAAAAATAAAACTTCTTTCAAATGATTACATGCAAGTTTTTGCAGCTCAGCAATGCAAAGTAGTGTTACTTGCCTTGGGGTCAGTCTGGGAAGCAAAAAAAACAAAAAGGAAAGTTAGCTGAAATTTTACTTGATTCCTACAAATTAAACCAAAATTACCAAACTGCTTTCTGAGATTTTACCTATCCCCAGGAACAGCTTCAATGCATCACTGAAAGTCTCCAGGGTTAATAAAGATTTGCATTATCTCAATTCATCCTAGATTTAAGTAGGAATAAGCCAAACCAATTTGGGTCATAACTTTTCTCATCTGCATGCACAGCTTGCACCAGCATGATAATGTCATTTGTTGTCCAAAAGCCTGATTTAAAGTATTGACCACATAATTATATTACCGCTATCATAGATAAGGAAAACTATAGGCATAAACAGTCTAGGTAGCTACAACTGTCTGGCCTGTACACTGATATAACCTTAAAAAAAATAAATATCCAGTAAATTCCATCAAACAACTTTGCTTTTAGCAAAATGATTTTATACGCAAGAGGAGCTGTTTGTTGGTGGGATGCCTCTGAAGCCATATATATATATTTTTTTTTTTTTTGGCGGGGGAGGGGGGAGTATTGGGAAGAGATTGCACTGGCACAGATGGATTTTACTAACAGGCAGCTGGGTCAATACATGTATTCAGATTTAGGAGATGGAGCTGTCATAAGCAAAAAATAGCTAAAATTGTGAACACTAACTGGCAGCAGATAACTGTATACACATGTTTGAACGTCCACAACTGAATTCCTGAACTCTAAAGAAGGAGCCTGCTCCTTGCAAGTGGTACAGCTGCTTGGAAATTTTGATAACACTTGGACTAAACAGATGTGGCACATTTCAAATCCTCCAGCTAATAAAAAGACATGAGGCAGACCCCTCAATTAAGAGGCTAATCATGTTCTGTTCTTCTTTCTGTACATAGTCTACTTAGACTGGAGAAACTGTAGGCTTGGTTTCCAGAAGAGCTGGTGCTAGAAGATAGATTTCTGAAAAGAAATGGCCTCAGAGAGAACAAGGTGAAGGCTCTGGTCAGAGAGAAGATCCTGAAAGTAGGGAAATGTCTTCGAGATGAGGCAGACGTGGAGATCAATGTTGGGGAAGGTCCATGGACCTTGGCCAGGGGTGGTCAAGTGTAAGCAGCATCACTGCAGGAATGAACATAGTTCTTCAGTATAACCCACTATCCTCTCTATGTTGGCATTTATGCTGCCTTGCCTATAACAGGTACAGAGGGCTAGCATGATTTCTGATTCTTTCATTAAGCAACAGGCTCAATTTTACAGATGAGGCATTTTGAAAGAGCATCTGTGAGAAATGCACTCACATTCCATCAAAGTTTTTCTGTTGCTCTTCAGAAAAATCTGTTTCAGCTAACAAAGAGTTTGTTGCCCTTAGAGAACACCATTAAGCAATACACTCTGCCGAGCATTTCATCAGCTTGTTATGGAAAAAACTGCTTGTCAGAGGTTGTTGCTCATCTGCTGCTCTTCAAGAGAAACCATCCTGTGTTTTCCCTTCTGGTGATATTTAAGATTTGTTGTACTCAGAGATTGTTTGTCCTATCCATAGATTATTAATGGAAAATGGATTTGTATGCTATGCTGAGTTGAGGGACTAGGTTTAGAAAAACAGATCTTTGGTGTAACTTCTCCATGTTTATTAGCTATAACAAACATTACAAGACAGACAACATCTTAACATACAGCTGTAAACAGATGTGCAGATGACCCCTTGATGATGTTGTGCCTGCGTTCAGAGAGGTAGACAAGGTGTCACTTTATGACACTACTTTGTCCCCAGGTTTCAGAAAAAGACCTGGGGCAGCACAGAGTCTTCCTGGAGAGTTTCATATGCCACAGGGATTGTAAAGCCTGCTACACTTCTGAGAGTTGCAGCTTGAAAAGCAAGCTATATTAGCATTGCAAATACTCATTCCCTCATCAGTACACAACCCCCATTAATGTGTAATGCTACACCAATGAAGCCAATCAGGGAAATACTGACTATAGCTTTGTAGTTCACAATGACTCAGAGATCATGCTAGCCATAACCCATTTCCACTCTTGGCTGGGAAAGTGGAATTGTTTTCAAGGGAGGAAGACACATGCTTCCATCCCTTTTATTAAGACCAAATATTCCAAGATTTTCAAAATCATTACTTGCATGTTTTAAAGGAAACTATAATGTAACCACAGTTTCCAAGTGCAGAACATGTCTTCAGAACTTCAGAAGAAAAAGAGGGGATCCGTGTGCATGCAGCACCCTTCATCACATAAGATAAACTTATGTCAAAGAGGAAAAGTTACAGATTCTATATAACCTGGAAAATTAAACTTTATGCAATTTAGAGTAGATAACTAATTAACTTGCATTTACTTGCATTCATATTACAAAAGCAGAAAGAGTCTGGGAGAAGTGATAAGTCTCAGCAATCAATGCTTCATATGAGCCACAAGAATCACTGTTCTCTGAGACGTCCTTCTATATTAAGGACAGCAACAAGCAATAGTGCGCAGGCATTTTACTCTACATGATGGCAATGCCCTACTTGAAAAAACATTTCTGACAATTGCCTCATTTTATATATTTTTGCAACTTCTAGTAAGGTGGAGCTCTTAATAATTTCCCTTCTAGATGATGCTTTTGTCAGCTATATGACAATGTGCTATCCACATAATAGTGATACTCTGGTCGACAAAGCCTATGTAGAAAACATATTTTTACTAGAAGGTTGGTTTCAAAGAAAATGTATCTAATTTGCTTATCTGAAAACACCTGAAGTCTCACATGAGCTCAGAAAAAGTACATAGAAGGACATAAAAAAAAAAGTATTCTTCTTCATTCCTGGGTCTTAAAAAAAAATTAAGTTTACCATTACGTTCCTCTCTAGGGCTGATCTCAGGAGCATTGTCCAGCACCGAGCAGTCACAGGGACCTAAGATAAGCATTACTTCAGCTACATCGGTGTCTTTCAATGTAGTTTTGGGTCATAATCATCTAGGCTAACATAACTTACTGATAACATACTGATTACATAACATAACATAACATACTGATTGTAGATGTACTGGAAATGTTTTTGTTTTCCATCGAGTTAGGCAGCAAATGTTGGTCAACATCTTTAATGTCTCTTTTCACTAAGCATTAACTGCAATTTCATATTAATAGCAATTTTACAAAAATTACAGTGAGCTTGAAAATTATCTAGGAACAAATGTGAAACATGCTTGATGCTGTTCAAGGACAAATTTGAATTTAAAATATATTTCCACCCTTTTTTCTCAGCTAAGCTGTTCCTGATTATCCAATTTACTGATAACATTCCTGCCTCATCTCAGAGGAGGAAGCCCTCCCAGAGGATAAACAGGGTAAATATTTCCTTTTCAATGTTTGCTTTAAAGTATGTTTAACTATTACAAAACAAACAAACAAACAAACAAACAAACCAACTAATTTAACACACGTATAATGTCTGGCCCTCTTGTACCTACTTCACAAATGTGGGGCTGCACAAATAGGATGTTTTTTGTCACATTTAGAAGAAATAGGAGAAGTACCCATGGAACATATCTATACTACATATACTGTATGCATGTCTACTTTCCACCTTTTCATCCACACCTATTTATTTTGCTATACAAATTATCCATTTTCTGGAAATTTTACAGAGTCCAGATGACATTGTCTATACCTGACTAGTATATAACTAGCAGTTAACTGCATGCTGCATAAATTGATTAATGTAGCACTTCCTATTTCCAGCAGGCTTTTGGTTAGCTCTTGTTAGAAGGCTCTTCCTGAGAAGATCTATGCTTATGGAGAATTATTAACTCATGAAAGAAATCATAGGAGAAGCTTGGTTCAGTATCAAGCTAGTAGATATGTTAAGATCATTATTTTGCTTTTTGTTTTTTTTTGCAAATGTGTGTTAAAAAATAAATAAACACAACAAAAACAACACAATGTTTCTTTTAAACTCTTGCACAGCAGGTCAGAGGGGACTGAAGTAATCTTTACTTGCTCAGTGATGCTCAAAAGTACTAGAGGATTTAGGTGCCCAGATCCATTCTGAGTCAATTGAAATGAGAAGCTAATTCTCCCTCTAGCTTTACTAGAGCGAAGGAGGAGAGACAATGACTTAGGCCATTTAAATAATATATGGGTTGACACGTGGTAGCAGTCATTAACGAGGTTACACAACTACTCTTTTCCCTCACAATCAAAACCAAAAGAGGCTGGACCCAGACTTTTCAGAAAACCTCTTTCCGTAGGGAAAACTGTTGCCCACTTGCATTAATAATAAACAACAATCATAGACACAATACTATACCATAACACACTATCATCTGGAAAATGGACCTAGGAAGGCTCAACTGTGACTGCACAAGCCCAGTTGGTCACAAAGCTTCGTCCAAAAGCTGCTCCAGAGGCATCTCCTCCTCATTGGCAGCTCTTCACCCTTTTCCACAGGGAACAACTCCCGTGTTGTTGCGGCGGCAACGTGTATTTACCTTCCTGAGTTCATCTGGGCTGGCAGATGTCAGAGTGTCTGGGAGGAGGGGAGAGCAGAATGAACACTGAATGAATAACATTTTTTCCTTTAGCCTGCAAGAAAACTTTCAGAAAATAAAATTACCTTTAAAAAAAAAAAAAGTTCTGGGGGAGCTTTCCAAACTACCACTGCTTGAAAACACAGTTTCATTTTGTGATAGATGTCAAGTAGTGGTGATCAACCTGTGACTGTTTATAGCATCCTTGTCTACCTGCATAAAGCATGCTTAAAGGCAGGATTGGATCAAACCAGAGTATCTACTTGAAGCACTGAATCAGCAAGCTCAAAACAAAATGTCAAGAATACTCTTTATGAAGGAGCTGGTCAGACTGGAGGCAGAAATCACTGACTGATATGTGAAATTCTGCTGTATTTAATAATAATAATAATAAAAAAAAACACAACACATAAATTAAGGTTAGATAAACACTTTCTCAAACTGTGGAGTTTTTCCATCACTTATTAGTTGAAGTTACTGATAGACTGGAAGAAGAGGTACAGATTTAGTGACAAAAAAATAGGGGACCATAGCTGCAAACTAGCACTCTTTTTTTTTTTTAAATCTCTTGCATTTGAAAAGCTGAGGTCACTTTATCAGTGTTGAGCCCAGCTTTATGGAGGAAGTTGCATTACCACATTGAGGGGAGAAGATAGCTGAAAGTTCCAAAAGCCACAGCAGCACAGTGGATTAAAGAAACACAGGCTGTTTTTAAAAGATGTGTCCAGAAGGAATTATTCATGGCTCTTGGATGGATGGCTGGAGTTCCAAAAACACTGGCTAAACCAGAACAGACGGAGGTAGGAGTGAATCAGTACTGAAGAGACAGCACAATTTCACTGTTTAAGTGTACTATTAGTAGACTAAAGTAAGCTGTGCTAGTTTTTGGAGTTATTATTAATTTTTAGCTGTTTGTTTTTTTTACAGGTTTCTGTCTGCAACCGAGCTAGTTCTGCGAGAGAGGAGGTACTGAACAATTTACCTGCAAAAGGACTGCAAAGGTCTGGAGAACCTGCATCCAAATCAGAAACGTGATTGCCCTGAGACCAACTATAAATGCACAAATCTCAGGTACCTAGGCCACAGGCTTGACTGTCCTGTTGAAGTTTCAGATTAAATTCAACCGTATGTTGGCTGCAGATTGTGGGCAATCACATTGCTAGGTGCACCTCAGAAACACAAAGAAACATAGAGTAATGTTATAAATGACTACCTATTCCCTTAAAATGCAGTTAAAAAAAATCAACTTTCAAGTCAGCTATTTTTGAAAGCAAAGTGACTTACTTTTTTTGCTACACTACTTATATTTGACTTAGATGGAAGTACATTAATTGCATGTAATATGCTTGGAATGTGTGGGAAATAAATTTTTTCCATATGAGTCAGCACAGGAAATGAACTGCAAATGATAAAATGTTGAGAAGTCTACAGATGGAGATTTTTTTTTAAATACACAATGTTTTTCAAGAGTAGAGTATTGACATCATGTTTTCTTACAGAGCAAAGTACCACAGAGATGACCAATGACACACCAGAGACTGAAGAAGAGGAAGAACTTCCTTCTGATCAGCATAGTTAAAGCCTGTAACCTGATGCAATATTAATTTAATGGTTTCTCTCTTTGCTAGTGCCAGACAGCTTTCCCTCCCTGTATTGGACATTGCCAGAGCTCAACACAGTCTTGCTAAACACAGAAGATTGTAGATAACACCAGGCCAAAACATATCTGAGTTTTCTTCATTTTCTTTTCAGTAATCTAAAATAAACAAACCAGCATCTTCTAAATGATGATTGAGCAATACATTACCTTAGATACTTTGGTTTTCAAAATTTTCCCTTGTTGGGCTTAGATATTAAAATAGTAATGACATTAATTAAAACTAAGAGCAAGAACAGCTCTTAGAGTTGTACTGTGAGGGAATGTTCATAGTATGAAATTATGTAACCCATCATGGAGCTGAATCCTCACACCTAAACCAAACAGCACCTGGAGCTCACAGTGGCAGAAGAGGATGAATTCAGAGTGGCGAAAGAGTGAGTGGCAGAACAGAATACAGAGCCCTGCTCCAACACACTATTGATTTGCTCTGAAGTTATGTGAAGTATTACTGTTGACTTCAGTATTAAAAGTGAAAATTTTATCATGGTATTTGATGCTGCACAAAGACTCCATTAACTTCAAATGGATGTTCCGTGCACTTTACAGAGCTGCCTTGTATTTGAAGTAGACTCCCATATTTCATTAGGCAGAAAATTACTGCTTCTATGTCAAATTTTCCTTCCGTTTACAGAGCTGGAGATTTAGCCCCAGTCTAGTACAGTTAGTAGGAACACAGTGACTCCCATCTTTAATGCGAGGTATAAATACACTATCAATATTGCTTTTTCTTCATTGAAAGTAAACCAATAGACTAGAGTTTCTTTTGAATATGTTGCTATACGCTCTGGGATGCATGAAAAGCATTTGAGTGAGTAAATTTGCATCATAGTCATCCTTGTAAACATCTTTATCTGAACGCTGAAACCAATTATATGAATTTGGCTTTTATCTTCTAACTGTACTTCTGTCAAATGAACTAACAGGTGCACGTGCTGCATCCCAAAGGCAAAATTTGGCTCATGGTGCCTAACGATCAAGGAGAGATGATGCACATATTTTTTGTAGGAAGATAATGTTTCATGCTCCTTTGCTTTAATTTTGCTGTCACTGAAAAGAACAACACAGGGATCCTGCTGCCTCCACTCCCAGTGTTCTGTTCATGCTGAAGCTACAGACAGGCTCTGCCAGGCCAGAGACCAAAGCGTGTACTGCGTGTTCGTGCTATGCACAGTTCATCATGCTGCCCTGCACCAAACAGAGCTGCTCATTTCATAGATTGGAGAGCCATTTAAGGTGAACCTGGAATCATTCTTGGTAGTAAAATTCAAACCATCTAAAGTCAAGCTGGGATTTTCCTGGACTCTTTCCCCCAGTCTTCAAAACATGTATCTAGCCTTTGCCTTTACTCTCATGAATAAGGAATTTAGAGCCATAGACTCATTACTCTCAACTGTCACTGCCCATAAAAATGCAAATCAAGGGAACTAATAGGCTCCCAGATGCAGGCATAAATTCAGAGCCCCTGCACAGTTTTCTTTTTTTTCCTCTTTCTTTTCTTTCTCCAGTTTGCCTTGGGAGCAGGCTTGACATGATTTCCTGAAAAGCTCCCTGCTTTGCTTCACCATCCCCATGACCAACGGCTGCACAATTTACGTGGATTAATTGAGCTACAAACAGTAACACCCAGATCTCTCATGCTGCTTAAAATATCATACAGTGAAAACATGCACTGTGGTAAGGGTCAAAGACAGAGGATCATGTTAATAGAGTAGACTTTTGTCTATGAGAATAAGGGCACCCAGACTAGTGCATTATAATGTAAAATTCTTAACAACTTCTCTGCTCTGCTATACCTCCAACTGAAGATGTGCTGGGGGAGGTCAGAGCAATTCGCCTGACTCAGCCTGCCGCCAGACAAAAATAGATCGTGTTAGCTTCTTCAACAATTATGAAAGATTTCTTTTTTTTAATTAAGAGGCTATGATACAGAATAGAAAAGGGAAACCCTCAGAGGATATAAAAGAAAAGGAAAAATTCAGAAGGCAGGTGGGGTTAAAGCTGATGTTTTGAAGCTTATAGTCATACTTCAGGACTTTCCTTTCCCAGGCAGGATGCAGCCTAGCAAGGGAGAAGGGCACGGGTGTTTATGAACTGGAGTTGCTCTCTGCAAAGTTTGCTGCCAGTAATAATCTGTCTTGAGCAGCAGTGTTTTGGAATAGAGTTGCTGACTCATACAGATTTGTGATCATACTAATCTCCATACAACTTTTATGAGAAGCTGCCAGAAATGAGCACTTACATTTGTAGTATACATTTGTGAAACTGAGCTACAATAGAACATCCATCCACATTACAAAAAGAGACAAGTTCTGGGCCTGCTTCCATACAAGAAGTACATTTCATCTGCGTATCTTCCAGACTTCCCTTCAACCTCTGGACTACGAAATTCCCTAATACTTTTCTCCTTCCCTCTTAGACTTGTTCTGCCCCTTAAAGTACAAGAAACCTTAAGAGGCTGGAAAATAAGACCATGTATATGGAATCAAAACTCCTCTATTTCCCTGTATTCAGTAGAGTCGTGGTACAGAGATGATGAAATCAAGACTCATGTATTTAATCCTGTAATTTTCAGAAGCAGTATTGTCTTGCATTGGATTTAACATTCTGCAGACAGCTGCCTTTTCCAAAGAATAATAGCTGTCCACACAAGTGCGTATGTGTGCAGGGGGAGATGACACTGAGCACTCTCATGTGGAAAAGAATACCCCCTCCTTTGAGAAAGGTCAAGCAATCTATCAGCATATTTCAAGAATTTACCATACTTTTTTACGAAAGGCAGTGACTTCCACACCAAGGGACAGCTTCTTCCAGTAAGCTAGTTTCTAGCTTCTTACAGCAAGCTAGAAAAATTACAGGCAATAGTTTGTACTACCTCTACATGAAGCTAAACCTGTGTTTCAAGTCTTTCACTCCATTTACTACCTAAAAACATTGAAATTCTATCACTCACACTGGTACACTGCCACTGAATTTATTTATCTACTTTGCTGGGACAACTAGATGATAAACAGCAAGAAGACCAAATCATGTGTATACCAAGCTAGCCACAGAGATGTGCATTTGTAGGACCACACTTTTGAATAGCAGCTCCTATAGCTTCCCACAGTGGTCACCATGCACTTTCTACACCTCTAGCCACTTGTCACCACTTCTTTCCTGACCTCTTCCTGTATAGTTCCATGCGCAGTTTCAGAGAAGAGAAAGGGAGACCCTTTAAAGGTACAGTGTTTGTATGAGGCTTTTTGAGTACCAGAGACAGGTAGAAGAGAGAGACTTAAGTCAACAATCTCAAGGAATTCTGCAGTGTGAATTCAAATGTTATTTATCTGTTGACCTGGTATGCTACAACATGTGTCCTAGAGAACCAATGCATACAAGTAGCTTGGAGCCTACCCACCACCCAGACACCCAGCAGATGCTACTATCACCACAGTAAATGGGAATTGGGGGCACTACAGGGCTGGGGACAGTCACAAAGAGCAAGAGAGTTATAATTACCACTGTAGAAAAGAACAAATTCTGCTGTTTCTAGTATAAAGTGCAACAAGACTTGGGCTTAGTGCTCAGTGTAACCTGGATGAGCATAGAATTTAACTGTGGCAGAAACCCTCACCTGTTATTTATGAAAAGTGTATATGCCACCAAGAGAAGAGAACTGTGAGTGATGTACAGTTTATATTAGTTTAGCAGATGTGGCATGAACACAGATCCTTTTTGTGTGAGTATGCTCAACTAGACATCTGAGCTTACACATTATGGAAAGGTCACCTTGCATGTTCCAACATGGATGCCCACACAGAGTTCAAAAATTGTTTCTTACCAACAATCATGTGGTTGCAGACATCACAGAAGGTGGGTTTTTTGAAGATGTGCTCCTGGAAGATGTGAGCCTTGTTTTCTGGCAGCTGCTGGGCTCTGGCGGGGGAGGATGCCTGGCTGTCTGAGCTGGGGAGCTGCCCTGTGCTCGTGCTCACCTCAGGCATCAAGTCCACTTGCAGTTTCACATCACTGTTAGTCCTCTGGAAGAAATTGTCTGCACTTTTACTCCGCAAGCTTTTGGTCTTGAAGGAGAGCGAACGTTTCAGCTTCTGCAGCTGCAACAAATAACCAAACTATAATTAGTGCCTCTTCCTCTTCAAAAGCAAGGCAAGGCAAGGCTGTTGGTTTTGGTGTGTGTTACTGCTAAGTGAACCCGCCTATAGCACCTAGAAGCCATCAGCAAACCTTGAACCACCCGAATAACAAAACGGACTCTAGACTTTAACTAACAATTTCAAAGCAAGGCAAACAGATTCCTACTAGGAAATAACCCACTCTACATATGCTTTCTGATAGATAATAAATGCTTCTATTTGTTCTTTCTTTCAGGTATAACAGCAAAGAAATACTGCAGAGAGTTATGCACATAGTCATTTGACAAATACATCCTTTGTATTCAAGCATGAGAGAAATTAGAGTATTGTGTGCTCCTTCAGCAGTCTGTAGAGCCATTTCAAGGACAGATGTTATATGCCATTACAAGAAAAATGAATTCAGTAAATAAATTTGATGTGGTTATATATCTTGAATTTGACAAAAATGGAGACTACATGCAGTTTTGACTGAGATTTTTTTTATTATTGTTGACAATTTTCTTAAGGAAAAAATTCTAAGGAGCAGTAGCCATATAGTCAACTAGTCACCTAGTAGGTTAATATGTTAATTAATACTAGTTAATAGAGATATCCACATATTTTCTTATACATTGCATTGTGTATTCCTTGTCAGATTACTAAGCATCACAATAGGGCATCATTAACTGAAATTTAAATTATGATTCTTTAACCAAAAACTGTCTCGTACCTTATCACAGGTCCTTTTATCCTTCCCCCCAAAAAGTTTTATACAAGGCTGAGATGGACACTAGGTGAGCCACAGAAGCTATAAGTGCATCTGATAGACAAGTCTGAAGTTTTATCAATCCTGACAGCCCATAAATAGAGTTTGGGAACATTGTGGGAAAGCCAGCTTTGCATCTACTTCATGTTTGTTATTTTTGACGTGTAATATCTCCATCTCAGCTTTTACCTCAGCATTATTTCAACCATCACAAAATCATTTCAATCACTGCTGCAGCTCTCTGGGGAAATATGATGTAACGACTGAAATTTTCCATGCCACACAGGCTGTCTGTGGTAAACCAGCATGAATGGTTTATATTAGAAACTGTTTATGTTAGAAACAATGATGATCGGGAATCATAATTCACACTAATATAAAGGGAAGAAGTTCACACACTTTCCCCAAAAAACACGGCACCAGTGTGTCACACTGACAGTGCCTCAGAGCCCACGCTCTTCCCAGTTACTGTTTTTGATCCATCTATTTTCTTTGTGAGTCAGTCAAAACCATGCCATGGGACAGGAGCCTCCAGGCACCCTCTCCCACCTTCACATGCAAGCAGCTCACTCTTGGAGCATTGAAATGCTCCATCTCTCTTTCAGTGCTGTACAACACCAAAATAACCTAAGTCCAATAAATGGGCAAAGGGATACCATTGCCTCTAGTTAACAGTGTTTGTGTTTGCTGCACAGAGGGTTTTGCAGCACTCTGCTGGAGAAAGCGTCTGCTCCCTGAGCTGTTTCCATACTTTGGGAAGCTGGGAGGGATCAGAGCCAGGGGCCTGTCCCACGCCCCTTGCAGCCACAGCTCTCTCTGTGCTCACAGGAGGAGCCCCAGATCCAAAGGAAGGAAATACCCACCTGTTTGCCAGTCAGGCCTAGCTGGTGGGGAAATGTGTAAATAAGAGCAATTAAGTCATTAAATGTGAACTGTGAGGCAAGAGCAGTTTCTGGTTTCTGAAGCTCTTTCAGCTGAAGGCGAAGTTGTGGACTTGCTGAGCCCAAAAACCACCTTACAACAGCACCGACGAAATGTGAGATCCTCCCTCTCCTGCTTTGACGTTAAGTCAATGGCACCCAAAATCACTGAGGTTATTAAGCACTGAAATTACTTCATTTCCCCAGTGATGACCAGAGACTCAGTAATAATTTGTTCCTTGCTCTTGAAATGTTTCCCACTGAAGTCAGACTTAATTAGTACAGCAAAACACAGAGAATTACAACATCACAAGGTGACTGAAATGGCATTCATTATTGATTTGCCATCCATTTCTACAGTGCCACATGAAGTTAATTAAATTTCAAAACACTGCTTCTGCCACAGAAAGAAGATAAAGCTGTGCAATACAGTATTTGTTTTATCATGAAACAAGTGTCTTGCTAGCTCAGCAATGCAGGATATTTTAAGGAACTCTGCGTTTTCTACCTTTATTGCATTCTCCCGTGTAAAATCATTTGCACGTCTAGGCACCCTTTCAGCACCTTATCAGCACCCTTTACTCACCTAGGCAGAAAAGTCTGTAGTTTTTCAAAGAGTACAGCACTCGGGCTATGCATGTCCACATGTGCACTCAGGTGAATGTGCAACAGTGCATATTCCATGCATCTACAGCCACAATGTTCAGGTCAGAACACAGATATTCAATAACAAGTTGACCAAGTTACATCTATAGACCTAGCATACATCTCTGTACAAGCTAATAACCCTGAGATCTCCTGAGCTCTGTCCTGTGCTAAAGTTGTTAAATCATTTTCCAGACCAGGTAGGCATCCTTGTTGCTACCCAAATGCAGATCCTCATTTTGTAGTTTGCTATGAACTGGTCCCACTCCTTAACTAGAAGATTTTCAATGTTAACACAGGCATATAATTTGCCTGATTTTGATCTGACATAAACTGATTTAAAGTACTTGTGATGCCACTCCTAATAGAGATGTTCACCTTAGGCAGGAATCAGCTCTATCAGTAGAGAGAGGGAAGTATGCAAATTTGATTATTATTAATTTCTTTCTGCAGAATTAATGAGCCCAAAGTTAAATCATAGAATGAAACACTGGTGAACTTTGGAAAAAGGTGAGACTAGGGTTGCTCTGCAATTGACAGTACTTGAACACTTCAGTGAAAAACTCATATATTGGGACTGAACAAAACCCTAAACCAATCATGAAGAGGCTTTAAGAAACATATCTTAGAATTCTCCTGGGCCTTTCATATTTTTTCCTTTGCAAGGAAGAGGAGAAGCTTACAAATTATCTTTCATTTAAATACATAAATTAAATCAAAATAAGATTCCCACAAGCACAAGAGCTTTTCTGGAATTGGGATAGCATCACAATACTTCACAATACTGATGTTTCAGAAACCTGAACCCTTGCTATAAAATTCAGGATGCTCTGGTGGTTTTAAATTAGACAGGGAAAAAGTTTGTCTCTATTCAAACACATTTTATCAGTCACATGACTGAACATACTGAGCCTACAGGCAAGGAAAAGATAAGTGAAATACCTAAACACTGAGCTTGATTAACCTTTTCTTCAGTAACAACCAGCACAATCTTCATCTTCTTCAGAATTACTAAATGCAAGGGATTGGGTAGCTCTGATGTACCACAGCTTATCAACACCTCCTGTGCTTCCTAATTTGCTTATACTATAACTATTTAACTGCTATAACCAGAAAACAGCAGGCAGTGAGAGGACAGCTACTGAAATTCATTCGTAGAGTTAACAGCTGCCACTGATATTGATTTGAATGGGAATTGTACCTGCCCTCACTAAGACTTCATTTTAGTCAAACACTGAAAATACACAACTCTTTTCTACAATTTTGTTTTAAGAATTTCCTGTGGAAGTTAGGAAGATACTGGTGATTTGAACTGCTTTATAATTACTAGATTTGCAATTAGAAAAGATAAACATATTTCCCGTCATCCACCCTGCAAAGAATAATTTATTCAGGCTCCTAACTGCTTCCCTGATATCTACAAACTTTTTTCCCCTGCCTCTCTGGCTCTGTCTACAGTAGCAGACATTGTGGCTCAGTAAGAGCAGATCTGCAGAATGAAATGGGTGCTGAGGACCCAGCATACATACTGTATACATTTCAGGGCACAGAGTACTCTGAACCAGCCTAGCCCAGCAGCCCTGGTGTGCAATTGCTGCACACCTGGAGCACAAGCAGGATGTAACCCCAAGAGATGCAGTCTGTGGTCTGCAAGGCTGTGCCACAAGGACCAAAGAATACCGATCAACAAATGGGAGGTTTGCTTTGAAACTGCACTCCCAAATCAAACTAAAATGCTAAGATAGGTGCCCTACCTGCCATCACTCTTTCTCTAGCACAACTTCTCTATCACATCTCTTACCATTCAAAGCTCAGAGAAAGCCCCCTCAATCCCTCCACATGAACACTTCATTCCCCTTTCTGAAGCTCTCTGCTTACTCTCTGCTTACTAAGCTCTCTGCTTAGTGATCAGCCACGGTTAATCACAGAATCACAGAATCACAGAATTTCTAGGTTGGAAGAGACCTCAAGATCATCGAGTCCAACCTCTAACCTAACACTAACAGTCCCCACTAAACCATATCCCTAAGCTCTACATCTAAACGTCTTTTGAAGACTTCCAGGGATTCTAACTGGGAAGATAAGCTGTTCTATTATATTGCGTTTGCTTGGACCATCAGCTTTGGCATTCAGAGCAACTCTTTTGGAGCCTGCTCAAGTCAGCTTAGTTCTCAATATGTTTAGAAGCTTACAAGGCTCCCTTCTCAGCCATGGCTAACTATCTTTGGCAGTGTCAGAGGCTCCTGTGTGGCACAGGGCCAACAACAAGGCTGTTTTTATACATTTCTGCACTTAGCTACCTTTCACGAGAAAACAGCAAATGAAAAAGGCTCATCAACTGTCCTTTACTGACAGACCATATAACTAAACTCTCATTTTAAGACATCAGCTGTGCTACTGTTCCACCAAAAAAAAAAAAAGAAAAAAAAAAAAAAAGATAATATTGCTTGCTCTTTTCTATCCCTTTCTTTACACTAGTGTTATCAGTATCATTAAATAGATTACAAGTAATGCAGGGCATTAACAGAGTTGGAATGAGCTATCAAGCCAGTTTGATTCCTGCAGTTCTTATAAAACATACCTATTTTATTAGCTATGCAGGCTAAAAGTGCTCTGTCAGTGGTTTTCACTCATCACTGTGAGATAAATAT